ATCCGCGTCCCAGCTGCTTAGTTATGGCGCTCTCCATATTCCCTCATGGTGATATTAACACTGATATTTGCGTAGATATGACTCGATTGAAGAAAAACGTGTTAATAACGCGATGCCGATAAGAATTCGATTAAAAAATGACGGGAATAATAACGCGCCAATACTCGTATTTTGCGCCACCGTGATGTGTACGTAGCTCCTCGGCTCGAAATGTAATGACTCACTCACACTTCTCAGTCACGGAAAGGTACACGAGACTAAAAAAACAATCGGCAAGAGAGACAAAACATCCCTCGCCAATCGCCACTGTCGTCGTCCGTCAGTCAAGGACGCGTACATAATCTCGGTGGCCAAGAACGTTCACAACAATGAATGCTCTCCAAACATTTCGCAACTCCCATCATAAATTTACCAACGTCGCGTCTTTTCATTTCTATTCGAAGGAGTCTTTTAATGCTCTACCGTAACTAAATGTAAATCTCTATGAGTGTACAACATTATTACGGCGCACACGCAACCGCTGTTTTTATCTTTACAACTCTTTCCTTTTTATTTCTTTTGAATCTCCAAATCGACATTACAATATTTGAAACACAAGTCTCGGCACGAAGAAAACAGCAGTGAGTAACTATTCGTAACATCAAATGTCAACAGGACAACAGTCTGCATAAAGTTATATCTCATGGATTTTTCATTTGTTCTTCAAATTAGATGGAATTTTCAGAATTAAGAGGAAATCCTGAAATCGTCCTACATATTACTATCAATTTATTAGTACTACTCGTATATTCGTTACTAGCTGCATAGAATTAAAAAAATGAAAAATTTTCATAATTTGTTAGCTTTTTTCGTTTTTCAAATAAAGTTAATCGTCTTCGCCAACATTAGTGTGTATTGTAATTATCCAAAAGGATTTTTAATTCTGTGTACCAACAAATTTGTGGTGAAGCAGGGTGATTGCAGGATTTTAATAAAGGACCAAAATTTGGATTGTGACCTTTTCAAAAAATTCATTCCGCAAAATGCTTCTGTGTATGTAAAAAAATCCTCAGTAATTATCTCATTAAGACAATATTATTTCATCGAAATATATAATATATAAAGATTTTTTGCATATTTCTAGAGGACCTCAATTCTTTCCAGCACAATTATATCCTTGCTTGCACGATAAAAAATAAGTAAATTATTGTTATTATCATTATTATCATTATCTCTTTTCGATTCCTACCTGTGTGTCTGGAATACGTGTTAACAGCTTCAATATTACGATTAGCGCACATTTATAATATTAATAAAAAACAAGAATCCGCAAGATATGTTCAATAAAGACGTCCTTTTCTCTCTCCCTTCCTCATTCTCAAGTCTTGAATATCTAGAAAATTAACGGGGATAGAGGGAGAACGAGACGTTATGTTCCATCGTCACGCGTCGAATGTCTATTAAAACACGGCCTCATATCGATTGAGAAGATTTATAATCAATTAAGGGCGGGCGGGAACGCGGCTGCAATCGAGTCCTGCGATCGATTATTATTATTGCAGTCCTCCGCGACCCACACCATCACTCAGCCGCGTTGTCTTCCGTTTAAAACCAATCGAGACCGTAGTTATTAGCGAGTCGATTAAGCGCCAACGCGCCTGCCAGTCGTCGTGATTCTATCGAACGGCGATAGCGACGATAAGCACGGCGGCGGCACTTTTCCAACGATGAAACAAGAACGATCGCTATCTCTCTGATAAACACTTTCCTATATCGTACATACGATTCCCGTCCCGAGGAAACGTGTTATTACGCGATGTAACGTGTTTCAAAAGGAAAGTGTGCTATTGCAAAATCGGCAAACAATATATCGGGTTAAAATGTCGATCTTATTTAGAAACTGGGAATTATAAGTTGAGAATGGCACAATACACCGAACGCGCCAGGAAATAACTCCTCTCAACGTTACGCTCCTCTACACTCTTCTGGAAGAATTTCAATTGGACGCTCGGCACTGTTATTTGCATCTCAAGTCCGTTAAGTACTCTCTACTTGCGCTCATACGATCGAATTGCAGTATCGTGATTGCAGACACGAATACCGATCCGCACGCGGGTATTCCCTTGATTAGCCGACGACCGGGCAGACTAATTACCGAAATATCGGGTGCAACATGCGAGTATTGCCTCGTACGTCAACATTAATGTGTAATAATGGCCGAGCATCATGCGCAACCCCGATACCTGTGTGCAAAGTGCATGGGAAGAGAACGGGCGACACGGAAGGGGACGAGAGAGAAGACAAAGTGACGGATGATTACGTGTCAAAACGCGACGTAACGTTCGCAACGTGGCTGACGCGATTGCAACCCGCACCCAAGTTGCGATCGGTAACCCGGTATCTTCGCTAGCTTCGCCGCTGATAAACGAGCCTGTTGCAAATTACTTTATCGCGACTGCACTTTCAACGCGTCTCGATAAACGTTCACGCTCGGATGCATTATTCAGAAGACACTATTTTCGGGGTTGAACCGTGCCTCGCGGTCGCGGTGAAAATAATCTCGGCATTAACGGCGAAAGCCGCTAGCAATCTTCGAGGGAATCCCTTACGCGGCGGAATTTTGTTACCGAGACATCTCTTTATCAAAGGCCGGGAAACACGAGATTCATGACTCGTGTTTTCCGGCTGCAAAATACTGAACTCTGTATCTTAGTATGTCGATTTTGAGATCTAATTTCTAGAAACATCAATTCTCAAATATCATAGTTGTTTGCAAGGAAATGTACGATAATTTTCATAAGACTGTCACATATTTTGGTAGAGAAGTGCTGTTGATCCACGCACACAAATCTACACCTTTAACGGGACTTTAGAGCCCAAACGACAAAATAGTTCTCTACTACATTCGGTTACCAAGTGACCCACGTTCAAATCGGAGTAATAACAGGTTTGTCTTTCGAGATATGATATTCATTCGACAAGCTACGGACGCAGAACGAATGTAAGTTCCCGAGCGCAGTAAGTTCCCGTTTTCGCAGAGAGGCGTCTACGACGAAACCGACGGAGTCGATTAGCATACCACCGTCGGACGATTAGTGCGCACCGAGGTTTTCTCGGCGAAACGCGCGGGCGGACGAACTGCTGGAACGGCGCGAACTCTATCGATCTTATCACTAGGGTGACTATCTCGAGATATAATGGTTGGCGAGTGCAAACAAAAGCGCGCGCGCCCGTCGCTCGTCCGACGGCAATCAATTACGAAATTGCTGGAGTCAGGCGGTTTTGACTGGACCGCGGGCAATTTATCAGATTAATCGTGGAGGAAGTGATTCCTGGCGGATGATGGGACCAAGCGCGGCCTCCATATGTCAGGAAGGTGACCGGGTGTCGGCGTCGGCCGGACGAAAGCGCTCACTCGCGCGGCGGGGGAGCGGCAACGTGTGCGCACCCACGCGATATCGAAACCAGCTGTCGATCGGACGATCCCCGAATATTGTTGTTGCACTGTTCCGTCCGTTGCAGCAGCCTCGAACGAAAAATGCAGACGAAGGCGACGGCGACTTGTTACAAAATCGTCCGCCCTTATTCGCTCCCGCAATTTCGTCCTCCATACAATTTGCGCAGATGTTACGTCTCCGAGATGAGAACGGAAATGTAATAACGTTTGGTACTGCTTTGAAGTATGAAAAAGGTCTCTGATAATGCTGTATTATTATGTATATATATATATGCTATTGCAGCGCCCATTGTGTATCTATTATGACATAATGAGATATTGAGAATAAAATAGACGCATCCTCGCGACGATAATGACAATGATGGTGCGTCAGTGAGGCTATTCCGTAAGCGGAATAGCGTTTAACGCGCAGATCTATGCGGAAATTTCAAAGGCATTAGCGATTTTAATGACACATAATTATATATCCGGGGTAACATATTTCCAATGGAGATACGTAATTATGTGTCCTATCGCGTAACATATTTTGCACGCTGTCTAATTATATCCCATTTTCCGTGGGACAGCAGGCGCGCAAATACGCTCGATGTGATTGATTAGCATAACGGCGATGTATTTTTCATGGTTGATCCCGCTAATGACTCGCGCGTAGAAACGCGGAATCATGCGGCATGCAAAATACGATAGGAGGATAAACGGGAGCTCAGCGCAAAACTACGCTCCGGAGCGCGCCGAAGTGCGCGTATAGTGTGCGAGAGCGGGTAGATTGAAACTCAATTATTGGTCGTGTTAACGCGCTGGCGCATCATCCATTATTTTCGGATTTTACCCGTGCGGGCTAGGCACATAAATTACGCCGGAGTTCGTCATCAAATATACATATATTATCGCGCCGCGTATCCCGCTAGCAAACATCATTCTTCGGTAAATCTATAGTAATCCCCTGGTGCCAGCAACCGTCCAACACGATGTCCGCGTTAACCGTTTGAGGTTTCGATTCGGCCTCCAATATTATCGCGTATCGCGGAACGCGCTGATTGCAGATCCAACCGGTAATATCGGAGAGTACACGTCGCATCAACTCAACTCACAAATAAATTAAAAATTCTCCTTCACCGCACGAAACAAATGAGTGAAATAAATTGGACCTTTTGTATCATTCCTTAATTTTTCTTCTATTTTTAAATTTCTAATTGTAAATTTCTAACCTTGAGAGGAACTTCCCTCTTAGCACCGACAGATAACACTGATCAACGCAAAAAGACGTCTAATAATATAAATTATAGTAAAAATATATTCTCTTATTTTATTTTCATACTTCTCTCATACTAATAATTTAGAAAAATTACAACATATATTTATTGAACTAATTAGCTAATTAGTTGTTTAACGTCGTCTTTCTGTTTTAGCACATAAAATAAGTAAAAAAATTAAAATTCCAAAACGGATACAATTTATAATACAAAATTTGTTGAGTTCCAGTGAAATTATCGCTACGAACCAATTTACTTCCCTCCAACTTGTTCAATGTGACGATCGAATTGATGATCATAATAGTACTCACTTTTTGAGCTTTGCAGGCAGCAGCCAACGGCAGAACGTCGTGAGAATGTGCAGCGTGACGATCACGAAGACACAAGGCGCATATCGCGATCTTGCATAGGGCACAATATAGGGTCACCGCTTCGCCATTGTGGTCGTTGCATACCGGTGTGCCTTCAGGCCCCAGGCCACGGGATCCTTTGCTGCCGCTCGATTGCCAGCTGCCTCTCGGTGGTCCCAAATTGTGGGCCGCCAGTGGACCTCTCTTCGGATGACAGGACTCCCTGCATGCATCGCAGTATAAAACCTGAAAGTAATACAATCGATCTTCTTCAGAGTGTAACGTATATCGCGTCGATGATACTCGCGGATTTGTAAGAGAAATATTAAAATTCCAGAGAGAGGGCGGTATTCATATCCGGCGCATCGATATTCACGATATCGAGTGCCTAGAGAAAAAATGTCACTATAAAAAATATCGATGAAATCATTCAACGGTGAGGGGAATTTTTTTCCCCTTTTTCCCGCGTTTTTTCGTTAAATATTGAGAGAACGGGAGGATGAATATGGATACGCTGATAAAATTTTCTTACGCCCGGGTCAGCATCGCGAGCTCGACTTTATTAAACTCATACAAAGGCGGACGTAAATTGGCGGACTCGTCGATAATTATTAAACCAACAAGAGTATCTCTCTGGCCTGCTAACAATTTGGACGTGGTATTATTCAGCGTCCTCGTTCGTTCCTCTCGTTCGTTCGGTATTTCCTACTCGGAAATAATATCACGTCGGTTATCGATAGTCCAGGCACTGTCGTCGCGAACAAATGTTGCTGCGACGAATGAAACTATAGGCGCGCGCGTTCTTCCCTTTTTCTCCCATCCCCACGATACGAGGAGCGGACGGCGAGTGTAAAATCACAGAAAAAAATATCCGCCACTTGTCGCAACGCGGCATCGGAGGGGCCGCATGGCAGAGGGCCGAAAATGAAATTTAACACTTCGAGGAAAGCGAGCAAGAGGGTAGCGAGGGTGCGATTGGCGTACATGTCGCGCAACGAGATATTTCATGCGACGCGCCACTCCGAAACGCGGTAACTCGATCTTTTCAAACAGAGCACCGAACAATATAAAATCTCTCTCTTCTAGTGTGAACACAATGTAACAGCGATTTGCGTATTGCGCAAACATGTTATATAAATCCCGAAATGACGATCGACCGGAAGATTACTGTTACTTCTTGGTAAAACTTAAACCTGACGAAACGAAGAAAATTAACTTGAAGCTATACTACAGTTAAAATGCATACGGAGAATATATTTGAAGATAAAAGAATAGGAGAAATGTTTGAAAATGTGATTGAAAAATATAAAAGAAGATTCATGGCTTTCTCTTACTCAATATGACATATTTGCGAAAAAACAAACCAAAATTATTAAATTAATGATAAGAAGCACGTAACATATACATCACTCAAGACATTTTTGTCTGACAGAGATCGAAACAAAGTCTGTCATATTCAACGAAAGAACGATGCGCTTGATCGTATTCCGTCTGGGAAGGCCGAAAGGCAAGATGGAAATAACTCACTTTGTAAACAATCACGAAACGAGTCTAATCGAAAACATCTGCTTTACAGTTATATCGAGATGGAAACGCTAAATTTCCGGGAAGTAAATAAACGAGTTTGTCGTATCATGCGCAAAACCCTAGCATTTTCCGTGCGACCTTTTCCTTGTGCGCGATTTCGTCTGATTAAATATTCATCTCTTTCAGCGACAACGCCCACAACGTTCGATATTAACGTCGATACCGATGTAGACGTAGCTCTCGTAGACGAGTGCGCTTATACCGCCAAGAGGAAAGTTATGAAGTGGACTTCGAGGGGGTGAACGAAGGAGAGTTAACGAGCCTCTGGATGAGGAAAGCACACAAGAGAAATAAACACGCTGATACCGCGGTCGTTAAGAATGGTAGCCTTGGGAACTTTTCCCCGATCTCGCGATCTTACGGCCCGGAAGTTTTCGTTCGGCGAACGAGCTGAGGCACTGAGACTGAAATATTGAAGAGCGGAAACGGCAACAGACGGATTTTAGACATCGTCCCCCCGGCGGAAATAGCCAAGGACTTGCGAAACTGATATTTTGTTCACGTCCTCGATATACGTTTAAATAACGCACGCATATGTACACGCGCGAAACGCTTTATGCGATATAAGGATAATTATTATACGCGATATATAATGTGACATTTCATCGATTCTTAAATATATCTTCGTTGAAATTAAAAATAAAATTAATAAATCGAGATAAAAATGCAACTTTCGATATTTTTACGGTACATGTTACGATCCAGCATTTCCTTGTAGACATCTTTCTAAACAAAGCCGGCTTTTAGTGATGGAGCTTTTTCCCCTTATTTTCTCGGCTGACGAGGGCAAGACTTCCTACAAGCCGGGAAAATGAAAATAATGAAGAGCTTGCACGAATGTCACGCTACACGTCTTTTGCTTGATACGAAGGTACATATATGCACTTCTACATATATAAAATTCTATGGAAAAAAATTCTATAAAGAGTTCATGACGCGTTCACAAAAAAAGAAAGTTGATGAAAAGCTGGATTTCCGCACCTCATCATCGTCCACAAACTTGCCAAATTCTATATTTATTATGCGAAAGTTGCGTCCATTATATCTCATTACTACACTGAGAGAAAAAATATGTAAAAAGTAAAATATATATTTATTCGGTGAGTACTAATAACATATTTACTGAAATTAAACTTTGTTTATTTAGAAGAATTTTATTTTTTTATTTAAATAGAAGAATAAAAATTGTTTTTATGAAAAGCTACAGATTTAAAAAATGTCTATTTTCTCATTCGAGAAAAATTTTTTCTCAGTGAAAATATTTTTATATTATTGGGTGAGTGCAAAAGTTTGTGCGGAGGTGCAATAGATGGCGTTAGAAGCGGCGTAAAGTTTTGTCATTAATACCGCCATCTCCGTAAGACATATCGTTGGAAAGGTGACGTGTGCAGCGTTCATTTCAAACAAAAGAATTTGTGTAGATACGAACTGCTTCGAGAAAGATTACTTTCAAAATGAGTGTCGAAA